AAGCAACAACATTTCGAAAATCTACAACTTTTTGAAAGACAGCGACCTTCTTCGACGCATATAATATAACCAGTCGGCCGATAGCCCATGATGCTAGTGCCGCGTATTTTCTTAGTTTGTATAATAATTGTATTATTATGTAAGCTTTTATAAAATAAAAAAAAAATAAATAAAAATAAGTTATTTGTACGGAAATTCGGTTTTTTTACCCCTCCGCCAAAGTAATCGGAATCGTGCCCTCCATGCACTCGCTTGTGGTTCGATTACGCCGTTTTCGTTCATTTCACTCTGAAAACATAGAACGCGACAGAACATGCAGTACTTGAACTGTAAATGGCTACGTGATCCTACTACATGAACATTTGTAAGAAGTTAGCTACATAACAATGACTGGCAAGTACACAACCAACACAGCTGTCCAATTTGTTTGTACCCAATTTATTTTGTTCAAAATGAAATTGTTTATGCAAAAAATAGGTGAATAGGTAAACATTTTTGAATTTTTTTATGAACACTTTTTTTGAATTATCAATTGTTATTACACATGATATGACAGAGCTATTTTTTTCTTTATTTGTAAAATAACGTCAGGTGGCATCACTCCTCTCTACTGTCAACTCTACAGTCGTCGGCAAATTTAAAAATATTTTGAAGTTAGTCGTGCAGCTGTCTAAATAACTCTGCGCATAAGAACGTGTGTATTTTAATATTTGACAAATGTCGCTTGCAGTCTGTCGTGCTCTAACAGCCCTATTCTGATGTTTCTCACTACAGTTAGGGTTACCTAATGCTGGCGAAAATTCAAAAGCTCAAATGCCCACTATTATCACAAAATCTGTGCCGTGTGAAAGCAGCATCACAATACAAAAACATCTGTGTTTGTTTTGATCTACATCAATATTTAGATTGTTTAAAAAACATTTGAGTGTTATAACTAGCATGGAGGAACTGTTCTTTGTGTATGCGGCAATTGTTGAGGAGAAGGAATCGAGGGGTAGGAGGAAAATTTTGAAGGTTTTACGAGACAAAAGCGATCCTTTTACTATGCAAGACACAACATTTACAAATACATTTCGATTCCCAAAATCGCTATGTAAAATACTTATAGGTGAATTGGTGCCGCATGATGTGCAGAAGTCGAGTATATCTTTTGATCTGCGTTTCCTGACATGTTTGTATTTTTACGGGTATGGCTCTTAGTTATATGTAAAAATAAATATAAATAAATAAATAAATTTTYTCTTAAAGATTTTACACGAAATTTGGGATGAAGGGCACAATCGGCCCATATTGGGATTGTTTCACACTCAAGCACAGACGCCACTACTCCTCTCTCACTCTTCATGAACCAGAAAGGATTTTAGAGCCTTAATATAGAAGCAGTACGTAATGTTCTATACTATACAAACTATTTGCCAATCTTTCTATTAATACATATGTATGTATTTGCATTTTTGGCAGGTTTGTGATCATCGATTTCTGTTCACCGCTATCAACGCGAGATATCCCGGGTCTTGCCATGATTCTGGTATTTGGACCACATCCCCAACACGTATGCACCTCACAAGTGAATATAAGACGCAAAGTGATTCGTGGTTGTTAGGTGATCAAGGATATCCATTGGAGCCATGGCTGTTAACGCAGTCCAGAGATAAAGAGATGTTTAACTCCTCTCTCACTGGAAGTCAGAATTGAACTTTGACAGCTAATCGAGTTCAGTAGGTTTTGACCAGAGATAATGAGATGTTTAACTCCTCTCTCACTGGAAGCGAGAGAACAATTGCTAAACGTCAAAACCACCTAAACTTTGACAGTTGATCGAATTCAGGAGGTTTTGACGTTTAACAATTGGAAACGAGAGATGTGTATAAGAGACAGGTTTAGACGTTCATCAATTGGAAACGAGCGATGGCCAGATTGAAATCTTACCAAAAAAATATGTAAATGGAGGGATTTGTTGCATCGTTCAAGACCACTTATAAAAAATGTAAAACAATGAAAATKAAAAAAATTTGTGAAATTTAAAGGTACTTGATGAAACGTTTTGTAATTTGAAGCATCATAGTATTATTTTCAATGGAAAATGATTAAAAACATTTAATGATTGAGAGCTAGGAAGCTTAAATTCTTTTATTGGATATTCAAACGTCAAACGTCAGTTGTTCTAATATACTTTAAAAAGATTTAAATATTTTCTCCATATAATAAATTACCACTATACATATAGTAATTGTTATTCGTACAAATGTTGGGTGCTTTAAGTTAAAATTCCCAAAAATTGTTATTTTGTTCGATCTGGCCATAATTGAAAATGTTATAAAAAACGCTTATTTTGAGGCGCTTTTTATTAATACTTATTTAATTTTTCTGATAATTTAGCCATAACCTCTGACAGCGAGGTTAGTGCTTGTGTCATTTAGTTCAGCACCCCTGTCATCTGCACATTTTGCTCTACAATTTTCCTTTGTAGAGCAATGGCCTCCTCCTCTCGCTTTTTTCCATCCTCCGTTTTTTTAGCACTGCTCCAAGCATCTTCGCTGTCAATTTTTCAAAACAATAGTTGGGGACAATTTTTTTTACACATTTATATTCAAATTTTTTTCTTTTTTTCTCCTCTAACTAAAGCTTGTCGATATATTGATATAAGCACCCACATATAACCATTTCTATAAAATTCTTCAAGTTTCGAACTTTAGTTTTCTATGAGTCTTTGCAAATGAGAAAAATAAAAAGCTAATGTTGTTTCAATGTTAAATTTATTGATATCTAAAACATAATAAAAAGGAAAAACTAAAACATTCAACGAAAGTTCTTAAAAGAATGGAAAATATTCAAAATAAGATATTAATCAAAAACCAAAATAAAGAAATTATATAGAAATTATACAAAAGTAAAAAGCGAAAAGTAGAAATAAAAAAAATAAGGAATTTATACAAAAATAAAAATTCCAGAGAGCTGCAAGCAAAGTTTTTATGCTAAATAATCAAATTCATCATTTAGTTGGGTGTCAGACAGAAGTGCAATGACCGCAGAAGGTAAAGTAGAACGCTTGGTTTTTGGGTGCAAACGTAGACTTGCAATCAAAGGGTCTATCGTGATAAGCAACCTTTGTAATAAATCTATGTTGGTGTCAACTCGGGACGTTTTTCTTGTGAACAGTTCGCGATACTCTCTCGACTCTTTATTGCGTACTTCTTGCGCTTCTTCAGAAAAGTTTCTTATGGGAAGAATGCATGAAGAAATGATAGCTCCTCCATGAAACAATATTTTGTGAAGAGTTACTGGCATATAGTACCAAGGATATAAACTCAAATAAAGCTCTCTTGTTTCTGACGTAAAATTTTGGAACGCATCTATATTGATAAAACAGCCGCTGTTTATGGAAATAAGTATTACTCGAAACCACTTGATCAGATCGACATTTATGCCTGTAATATCCGATGTCTTTTCTGCTTCTTTGAAAAATCTTATGACCGTATTGTCATCATTTGTGTTTCCTGTTTTCTGTTTCGGCATATCCACAAGAAGACCCATTTCGTTCCTAAACCTGTCTTGTATTTTTTTCTTCCTTCTTGCAACGCTCTCCTTATTTTCATCGCCTGATACGTACCATTTTTCTATTTCCAATCGGTAAGAAAGGTGCAACAAGAACTCCATAAACCTTATGTAGGCATGTAGAGGTGAAAGATCAACAGCAAGCATATTTTCATCGATTTCGCGTGGTGATAAGGCATTCATGTCGTTCATAGTTTTTGGAGTTGCACCACATAAATAGCACGCCTGCGATGACGTGTAATTTGAAAGAGCGGTGCAGACTTTGCCGTCAATCATACATAGAATTAAATTGGCTTTAACCGTGGAACTATAACCGTGAAGCTCAAAGCTAGTTAGTTTCAAAACAGAAATTTGCTGCCGAATATGCTCCACCTCACGCGTCTCTTTCGTGAAAAAAAAAATTTGATCGGTCTACAATATCTTGTCGAAGACGCAGCTGAATTTTGCCAAAAAATATGTTTCCTTCCTTCAGCTCCAGAGTTAAGTTGAAGAGGCACTATCGAAAGAGAAAACATGCTTTCGTCTGACATGTTGCCATCCGAAAATTTTTACTTGTAACGGTTCTGTTCAGCTCCATCGCATCTCCATTTCATTATTATGCTTAATTCATCCTGAATGGCAGGGAACGACTTAAAAACCTCATATTGTGCATCTATTAATCTTTTCACCGTGTGGTCTATTAAGGATTGCAAATTGATTTCGGCATATTTTTCAGTAACAGTAACAAGGCTTGGGTAGCACAATAATTTTGATTGCTTAACGAGGTCATAGCATGGATACAATTTCGGACTGTAYGGTATCGTATGCAATCGTATTCCTCGGTATTGATCAGTTGATAAATTTTCGTCTACGATCATGGCCAGTGCTTGATCTGGTGTAAGACTTTTCTTTTCAGTAATGCTTACCCTTCCTCTTTTTATAGCTGTACCTCTCGAAGGGGATGAAGCCGACAACTCTKTGACAAYGYTTGCTGAGTCYCTTTTTCCACAGGWYCTCAGATACATTGSSGTAGCCATAGTTAATTGTTCCGAAKCTACATTTSATATTAACTCTTTGCATTTCCGTTTTTGTGTACTCGAAGCACTTTCAGCAAACTCTTTTTCTTGCCTTCCGCGTTGAGGTATTTGTTTTGAAGCTGATGGTGCGTGATCAAGAGCAAAATCAACAGAATTGTCATGCATAAATCTTGCTTTATCACGGTGAGATTTTCTTCATCGCGATTGAAATTGGAAGCAAAGCTTTTTTATCCATCGCTTTTCACCTTGCTCAACCAAATCCAAAATAGCTCCCCTCGCGATATTTCACTCATACCAAAAAAAGGCAAGAAATTATTTTATTTTTTAAATTTGTTTTGGGCACATTAACAAAGATTCTGCTGGCATTCCCATCACGGAACTCCGTGGGACTTGGAAGTTCTATTCTATCAAATATTTGAAATCTTTAAAATTTGTCTTACCTTTCAGGTGGTTATAAAACAATTTTTTCGAAATACTTGAGTATAAAAATAAATATTGTATAAAACAAAAATTTTAAGTTTAAGTAATAATCTTAAATACAAAAAATATTTTAGGCCAAAAAAAACCACTCACAACTTCGACCTGATCACTCAAACTTTTATGATCAATGCAAGCTTGCAAATTAATTGTAGCATGCTATGCAATTGCACGTGTCTGTTATCATGCCAATAACATTTTTTTATTCTCTTTTGTGTTTGTTCTCGTATTAATTGGGGTCTCTTCTCACGTAAAAAAAATATATGAGCGAGTTACGAAAAAAAAAATTTTTTTTTGAATTTCAAGATGCCAGATTGATTAAATTTCACAGTGTGTGTTGATGAGGGGGCTGGAGCAGGCGATGCGACTGTTGGTAAGGGTGCTGAAGCAGGCGATGCGACTGTTGGTGAGGGCGCTGGAGCAGGCGATGTGACTGTTGGCGTTGGCGAGGAAGCTGGTGCTTGAGCTGTATTTAAATACATGTAATAATAAAATATATAGTCCGACAAATATTAAATTAAAATATTACCTGGTGACCCAAAGTCTCAACACCCGGCAATCCATCCACCGCTGCTGCCCCAAAAGTTGTAATTGCTGCTCCTCGAATTCAGTCATTCCATTTATCGGAGGGCCTCCACCAATCGCTTGCGCATGTGCCTTCAGTTTGCGCGCTCGCGATCGCAACTGATGTTTCCAATGCATCAGGGACTATGGAAACATATTTTAATAGTCAGGAAATGGAACATCTGCTCCATCGTCATCAATTGTGAAATCGGGTTCATTATCTCCGGGTTTTATGTTTTGACTACCTTTCAGCAAGCTGAAGAAGTGTTCCCTTCATAATTTCAGTATCCACTGGGCATCAGATCAGATCAACTCTGGGGGTTCTACGAGAGTATACTCTAGTTTTAAAACTTTCTGTTTGTCGCCGCATCTTTTCGAGCATTACCCCTGTTGTTCTTTTGCATTTTCCGAAAACCAATGATTTCGTTTGCAGCTGTATGGAACGAATTTGAAGTGCAGTCCCACAGTTCCCCTATAAAAAGTTACTGATGAGTGCTTTCAGAAAGCTGGAGAGCAAGTCGATTAGAAAATCGTTCGACAGTCCGTTGTGATTGCCGCTTCTTGACGTCTAACCTTATTTGTGTTTGTTAACGTGGGGATTTTGCTGCACTGAGGCGGGTGCGTATCTTCGCTGTAACAAGACACGAGTCAATGTTAGGACCTCGGACCCTTATTGTTAGAGAATAACTGAGACAGAAGCCAAGCGCAAATCTTTGTATAGAATAATGTTTGGTGATTAACAAAACGTGAATAAGATATGAAAAAATATCAGGTATTTATATACTTTTTATTTTTCATATTTTATAGATATATCATACTTAGCCAACCTCTTTCATTTCTATGTCTAACAATTTACAATTTTCTTCTATCTTTAATTTTTTGAACTCTTTATCTATCTTTTTTTTTTTTTGTTTGAAACTGCAAATTCGTTTCTGTATGTGTTTTGTTGTTGTGTGGTTGCACAAATGGGAAAACTTTGAAATCTGTGTAAGGGATTTGCAAGAGCTTGAAAATCTCTCTAATATAATATTACCCTATTTCTGTAAAATCCTTAGAACTATTTATATACGCCAGAGTAGAGTCATACAATATAATATGTAATAGAATATTATAAGCAATTACAACTAATCATAAGTACACAAATATATATATGTATAAATAGCATGGATTTGTGTAACAAATTAGTCTTTAGAATATTAATAAAGAAGGCACAACTAGGTGCAGAAAATTATATATTTAAACTCATTTTTATTTATGATAAAAATAACTCGCGCAACCAAGCCAAGAATGATAAGCTGATTTTGAGGCAACAATCCTTGTAAGCAACCCATCTGTTAAATCTCCGGTTATCCACTTTCTTAAGGCCCAATTGACAATTCATACGTTTTTTACGCATTGCGCTTATGAGTTACACGGTGTGTAAGCGATAAACATCCAATAATCTTTTGTTTCAAAAATATTCTTGAAAGTTTTCATTAATGTTTTCCGTAACAAATACTTTTTCACAAAAGAGTTGATCTACTACCTTTCTTTTAATTACATCTCTGTGCCTAAAAAAGGCAGATTTCGATCAGGTGATCTCAGCTGTGAAAAATTCGTGGAAAACAGCTGATTCTTTTGTTACTTGTAGGGTTATACATTGTGCCAGACCTTTTTATGGACACAATTATTGAGACAGCTGCAAGACCACGGTAGATGTGCTAGGGGTAGAAAAGTCGACTCTGACTTTAGCCAAAAATCGATCTTTGAATAGAAATAATCGACTTTTTAGGAGGGATTCAAGCCTGCTTTGAATCGTTAATGTTCCCCACTGTACTTAGTATCTGATGGTAATATAGTTGGTAAAATTTTTACTTCTCGTTTTACTTTTAAAAGCATTATACAAAGTACCAATTGAAGCGTTTCTTTATAAATAGCGTCTTTCTGATATTCTGATTGGTCTATAACATTATTATATTTAAATTATGTAATAATTTAAAAAAATATTGATATATCTAACGAATTGCGTTTACGAGTTGCTTAATTTATTAAAAGCCGACTAATAGCGTGATTCTGTAGCCAGTCTCTAATCTCTATTTGAGACATTTGGAGAAAAAATCTCGGTTTGTGACTAGTTACTATTCACTAAATAGTCTCTAGCTTTAGTCTCAAAATATTGCCTCAAATTTGAGACCTGGTAGTTAGMAGGTCACAACACCAAAAGGAACTCTTGTCTGCCATTTTGAATATATTGAATAGAGATCATCATAGATATTAATCGATTGTCGTTTTATATTTTGTAAGCAACTCAAACACGAAAAGGTTAAAAATAAATAAATTTTATTTATATAAATTTCGTTAATATTATGAAACAAAGTCAACATATATTTTTATTTTTATTGACGTTTATGTTTTTTGACTATGTTATAGAAAATTTAATATTTGTTATCGACATATTTATTTTCAATCAAGTATAAAAACATCTCTGAATTATGAAATGCAATAGAGTTTGTGACTATCACTTACAGAATAGCAAAATCGTCTCAAGTCTCAAAAATTGTCTCTGTCAAATTTAGAGACTTGATACTGTATCACAGTACAGAATCGCACGGTAAAGCTAGCATGTACTTGCACTATATTTCTTATTTAAAATATTAAAATGGTAAATTTTAGAATATCATCCCCGAATGCAACACTTTCGTTATTGTGTGAACAAAAGATAAATATTAAATAAAAGTTATTTTTGCATTATTCAATATAAAATGTTAAATGGTTAGAAATGAATTAGTGAAGTGTTAGTGGATCTGTAAGTTAAAAATATAAGTGTAAAACGCTTTATAAATCGGAGAAACTTCTTCTTCTTAATTGTCGTAGACCCCGCTTATGCGATTATGGCCGAGTTAACAACAGCGTGCCAGTCGTGTATCACAGTACGGAATCGGACGGTACGTCACAAAAGTCGACTATCGGGGTTGATTAATCGACTTCCAGAATCGAAAAACTAGAAGCTCATTCCAAAGTCAAAAATCGATTCCGCTCGCTCTCTTTCCATCCATAAGATGCGTAAGACTACGCAACTGTGTCCATAAGAACGTGTGTATCAGAGAAATAAACTATCGATAGTGATATTGTCACCGATTGTTTAACAGCTCCAATATCTGCCAATAAGTTTATATATATATTATAAACAATAATTATGTTATTAAATATTATTACCAACCAAAAATTTACATTTGTCATTCGAGTTTGTCAAAAGTGTATTGCTAATGTATACAGTGTACAACCTCACATATTTTCATATCAGAAAATTGGCTACAGTAAATATTTGAACGGACGGTTTATTCATAACTATATTTCATCAGATAAAAATGTACCTAAACCAATGACTAAAACTAAAATCCATAAAGATGCTGTACTGGTAAAAAATACCATTGACCCCTTGGCACTTAATGAAACAGAATCATCAACTTTTAAATTTAAATTGCTGTTATATGATGAAAACAAAGATGAAATAATAGCCGAGCTTAATGCTTGTAAGGATACATCCCAAGTTGGTATTTTTGAAGAAATTAATTACCGAAAAGTTATGTATATTTTTTTTTACAGCTATGGCAGTTCATAAAAGAATACCATGAGGTATTTAAATGTAACCATATTGTTCAGTCAATATTGGTTCTGAGAGATATTTTTCAAGATCGTAAGGATTGCTTAGTTACAGAAGAATTATTAAAAGTAATTTTAAGGGCTTTGGAGCCCCACGTAAATTCAATAAATATCAGAGAACAAAGTTGTTGTTATCTTTGCCTCCGAAAATTTGGTGTTCCTAACACTAATTTGGTTATGCAGCAGTTGCTCCTGGGTGCATTAAGGAAGGTCTGTATTTCGTCACCAGATAAACCAATTGCGTTAGCTGCATTATGTCGATTAGCTGTTGGTATTAACACTGGCAATGATTTTCACGTTCCTACAGTTTGTAGTTCCTTTATGCCACATATAATGCTCCATATTGAACATTGTGATAACGAAGAGGACTTGCGTCTTCTTTCAATATGCATATTAAACCTACAACCTTTAATTACGACAGATATTTTGGAAACATTTAAAAAAAAATTAGATCTTTTAATTAGAAATGGTGTTATTAACACAAAAACTCCTAGAACGACAATAAAACTACTACATTTATTAAATATTTCAATATGGTCACAAAAAAATGGTCAAATTATACGACAGCTTTTATTATTATTATATCCAAGTTTTTCAAATCTTAATATAACGGATCTTAAAACAATAAGTAGAGTTTTTAGTTACCATTTAGAACCATCAGCTCTAATTAACCCATTTAGCAAATTGATGAAAAATTTACTTCAAAGGCACCAAACGGTCGATGTTCTCGCCGCCTATTTACCATTTCTAGAACCTTTTTGGCGAGAGCCAACAATTGAAATTTTTAAAAATTTGCTTTTTACTTCCGAAAAAAGCCTATCTACATATCCGGCCACCGAGTATTTTCAAATAATTCGTGCTTTAAAAATATCAGATTCGAAAATATGTGATGCATATTGGGCTAATATTTTGAAATCCTTAAATTCGAATGATGAGGAGAAAAAAAACCTTCGGTTTCTAAGACACTGTCATCGTTATATGCATTTTAATAATAATTTGGGAGGAACATACCGCTTCATTCCTCTCGAACGGAGGCTCTCTCAATTGGCTATGGAATTGATAGAAAATGATGTATCTGGACGACTACCATCAAAGTTTGCGCGTTTAGCAGCTTTTGTATTAGCATATGGTCATACACCTTTTGGATGGAAAAAGTTTCCTAATGTTGTACTTTCCAAAATTATATCCATGTCTAGCCAATTCAGTACTATAGATTGTTTTCTTCTTAGTCGTGGGGTTTATATTGCTTTGGAATTGCGGTAAGCTTTTTTCGAAATATGGACTCAATTATATAACAGTAACGATACATTCAAATATTTTAGATTTCGTAATATGATTCCATCGTTATTGGGTATGCAACTAACTACTATAGATAGCGTATTAACCGATTGCATTGGGCGCCATTTGGAGAGCAAGTACTTGTCGATTTTTGATTTAAACACCATAGTGCGAACACTTGGATACAGAAAATGTTTGTGTTTCTTTTAAGTAACGTATCTATTGAGATGCACATACATTTTTTTTTTATTTAGCTTTGAAGAATAAAACAATTTATCAAGAAGCCTTAAGCAGGTATAATCAACTTGATTATAGTGAACTTAATTCTCGTTTAATTCGGGAAATGGCTTACAATTTCAATATATCAAACTGCATTGTACCTAGTGCTATGGAAGCCATGTTCACATACATTGAAACTAATCAGAAATACGTAATTGGCGAAACTGTGGAGAAAGTTTTAAGTTGCGCTTATAATTTAGGTTATATGCCACAATCTGAAGCTGTACTTAATAACGCTGCATTTATTTTAAAACGGTACGTACCACTACTAAATAAGTAAGGTAGAACTAAGTCCGGATGTAACAAAACATTTTATACTCCCGCAATTTGCTATGATTAAAAAGGTTTAAATATTTTCAGGGTGAAATTTCTAGATGTATTATTCGATTGAATTGTTAGTGTAAACTATGTATTCATTACTCCGTTTTGTTATATGTCCGACTTATTTCCAAAAAAAAAAAAAAAAAAAATATAACAAACACAAATCTCTATATTCATCATATTAATGGTGGAGGTAATTTTTTTACTATCGTATGGCATAATAGTCACCGACAGTCATTTTAATAATCATATTATATCATCACTTGAAATTTAATCAATCCAATATTTTCCCCAATTCGTCACAATTAAAATAAATAATATCAAAAATATGTTAAAACTCGCTTGTTTTAATAGTAATTTCTTCATATGACAATAGCAATTTTCTGCAAGCAGAATTTCTCTAGAAGCTTTTTACGCTCACAATTAATATTCTCTTCTGAAAGTTTCTTCTAGTTAGCTAGCTAGGGATTGTTAGCTGTTAAGAAACACTTGTTTTGAATTTTTTCATTTTAATAGTTGTATTGTGAAAAAAATTTCATTGGCCAACTTTTCTGTATTAATATGATGCGTTTATCAAAAATAACATCTTGATAAGCATCAATATTCTCCTATTGCGTAAGAGTTATTTATAACTCACCACATAACTATTATTCTGTGATCAGTAAACAAAAGTTATGAAATATCTCTTATTTTGTAAAATATAATGATTATTTTGAGAGGAAACAATATATAAACTGAAAAATAATTAAACTAAATTTTTTACTAAATTCCTCATAAATGTTATGGCCACTGATTAAAAGTAAAAATCATTCATAATAAAAAATGACAGTTTTTCTTGGGCTCACGATGAGGAACCTGTAAGAATTTTCAAGATACGATCACAATTGAACATTGGCAATGGTAGAATAATATAATTACTTATTTTGTTATTTTGAATTTCGAAGATATTATTTACAAAAATTTTGAAATTTGTTTTTCCATCTATCCTATTAAAAAATAATAATAAAAATTAGTCCGGGATTGAAGAAATTTTTTATTCCGAAAACCACATTTTTTGTAATCCCGAAAATTTTAAGATACAAATTTTCATTTTTGATCACAAATGTTCCATTTAAAAAACAAAATAATTATCTCAAGCACAGACGGTAATCATAAGTTTTATATTACAAATCACGTAATAATGATTATAAATTGAGTCGTACGATTTTCTTCAGCGATAATGACGAATTTCAAATAATATGGAAATAAAAATAATATATAATGATTTATATGAAATTACATTTTTTTACGTTTGCGTACTTGGAGCTCGCACAGACTCATTTTCAATACTCTAGAGCAGTGGTCAGTAAAGTTATACACTCAAACGATTTATCTTATATATAACAAGTAAGGAAGGGCTAAGTTCGGGTGTCACCGAACATTTTATACTCTCGCATGACAAAGTGATAATCGAGATTTCAGGCGTGGTTGTGAACCGATTTCACCCATATTTGGTACATGTCATCAGGGTGTTAGAAAATATTATATACCGAATTTCATTGAAATCGGTCGAGTACTTCCTGAGATATGGTTTTTGGGCCATAAGTGGGCGACGCCACGCCCATTTTCAATTTAAAAAAAAAAAGCCTGGATGCAGCTTCTCTCTGACGTTTCTGACGTTTTTTGTTAGTGGGTTAACGCACTTTTAGTGATTTTCAACATAACCTTTGTATGGGAGGTGGGCGTGGTTATTATCCGATTTCTTCCAT